ATAGCTCAATTTTTAAAATGAAATGTATTTTAATAAACACTGCCTTAATAATTATTCAATGTGTGTATACATTTTTTTTTGGACACTCAGTAGATCTACTTTTGGAGGTGTACCAAATCTTTGTATATCATGTATTTTACACTCAGAGAATCCATATCTCAATTTGTCCAATCCCCATTTCGAGTGCTCTATAACCACAGGCAGCTAGTGGCTACTGTGTTGGACAGTGCACGACTCAGTGTGTCTAATCAATTCTTAAGTTAAGACCTCTAAGGAGGAAGAATTGTTCCACCAATCAAACTACTCCCAGGTCCAGCATAACTGCAAGCTAAAAAGCATCCCCCTTTGGTCTGGCTTTGGAGGCACAATTTTAAACATGTGTATTTGAGCTTTGTGAGTTTAATTAAAGTAAGTGTTTAATTAAACTTATGGAGTGGATTTGATCTGGTACACCGTAAAGAGTGTTTTTTGGGAAGCAGAACGAATATTTTCTGTTTTGCGGTATCTTTTCTCTCTGCTGAGAAAACACGAGTTGACAAGTGCTAGAACAAGATCTGTGTCCGCTGCCAAAGAGAAAAGTTACCCCTGCCACATGATACCTCTGTGGTAACAGCAGGCTCTTCACACCCAGACCAACTGTCCCGTGTCATTCTAGCCTCTTACTAGAATAGAGCCTTGCTGACACGCCCCCTGCATTAGCATAACCTGGATGCTCTTGTCTCACAGGCTTGCACCTTAGTTTGCAATGATGACATCCTTTTGAGTCACACATGAACTAAGAGCGTTACTTGCTTAGTAATGGAAAACTTACATAGCAGCTGACCTTTAGGTGGCATTTTTATTCCCCACAAAGTAATTTTCTAGGCATCCTTCATGTGAAAACATACAGAGGCAAAGGAGTAATGGGGAGGAAAAACAACTCGAGTTGAGTCAGAAGTCCTGATTTTGGAAGTCTCAACCTAATTTATTTGCTATTTCCTGAGTGGGTGGTGGTGATGGGATGAGTGTCATCACCATTAACTGTGACCAGGGCTTCCACTGGCCCTGGTGGTGTCTGTGATTTAGAAAGTGTGCCCACTTGAGAGGGACATAGCCCTTACAGCTATATGGCTTGGCAACTAGACAGCGGCTTTGAGAAAATTGAATGAGTGCCCCTTTGACCTGTAGGCCAGCATCAGAGCACATGGCTTGCAAGGCAAGTGGAAGAGACAAGATTTCAGCTTCCCCTTGCTCTTCTGCATACCTGCGCAGGCAGCTGTGACTATGACAAACATCAATGGAGTGCTTCTGAGACATCATGCTAATAACTTGGCATAAATTAGCTCATCTGTTCCCCATTAGTTCCTATGGCGTATCCTTGATTTATACACTTAAAGTTAAGTTTAGAGAGACTGACTGGTTAGGGTCATCCACCTCGTGAAGGGCAGAGCCAGGATGTGAATTCTTATCTATGTGATGTCCACATTACTAACAACCACATTTCTCTGGGCAAATTATCCTCCAACTTGAACTTGTCTTTCCCTGGAGTTATTCTAACCGCTACATTTCACTGTGCACATAGAAAAAAATTTTTTTGCAAGTTTTAAAATACTATAGAAACATAACCTAATCAATGATCTAAAGATTAGCTAATATGATTTTTAAATACTTGGGTTTTAAGATTTCCAGAGATGAAGGTGCAATGAGACTGGCTATAAATGTAGCATATAGATGAGTTATAAAGGGGCATATAGAATTCATTTATGAAAAAGAGTTAAAAAGAAGATACTTGTAATAACAGGTATTCTCAAAGATCATTTGCCATAGGTGACAGATAAGGCTTAATTGATACAAAAATGGAGAAATTAATAGGTTAAATAAAATAATAGTATGATGATTTATTTTTCTTTAGTGAAGTCTTGATGATGTGCTCACTGGTTTATTGGTGTATTTTATTTACTATTTGTATCCTGGTAATTAATAGCTACTCAAGAACAAAACAGGGAGGGGACAGAGGGGAAAGAGTGGAGGTAACACAAACCTCCCACATTATGCTTATATTTCTCCTCCTGAGAAAACTTTGACTAGTTGGACCTGGAAGGAAAACGAAGGGTTGCTTTTTATGCTTTTAGAGCCAACTTTTCTCTTTAGACACTGATTTTTCTTTCAGCTTGTCTGTTTTTACGGGAATGAGGGATGTTCCAATAAAAATGAAGTAACTTTGGGGACAGAAGAAAGGCGGTAAGTGGGGCTTGAGCTTGATATGAAATCTGAATAATGGAGGTTCAGCTATAAAAGGTGTGTAGTGGACCTTCCTAATTATTATTTTAAAATTCAATACATGAAGAAAACCACTGTGCCTTGAACATTCAGTCCTCATTTTTGCTGCTCTTGCTCTCCAAAAGTATTTACATGTCCTTTTAATTGTCTAAAATGGAACCCAAGTTTCTCTGGTCTTTAAAAATGTAGCATAGAAACTCTATCTACTATTTCTAAGATAACACACAGAATATCCAGGACAGAGGGCTATATCTTCACTTCTTTAAAACACCTTAGTATGGGTGAATCATCAGGCAAAGACATAACTCACTCATATTTGAAAATTGGTTTATTAAAAACAAAATAAAGTCATGTCAGCATGAAATTATGGAAGTCCATTCCATATAATTAAAAAAATTCTATTTCTGCCTGATAGGAGATACTACCATTTATACTAAAAAATGAAGAATATATTAGAATATTCTGTGGTTTTTGTTAGAACTTCAGTGTCCAATGTGATAGCCACTGACCACACATGGCTACTTAAAATTACTTAAAATTAAACAAAAATTAAAACTTCCCTTCCTCAGTTGCACTAGCCACAAGATGAGTATTCAAGAGACAGTTGTGACTAGTGATGGCTGTTGGAAAGCACAATTTATTTATTTTTTATCACCGTAGAAAGTTCTATTGGACAGCACTGTCTTCGAATAGTTAACATTCCCACTAGAATATAGTTACTCTCCAGTACTTTCCTCAAAGTAAATGCTTCTCTTTAACTGTTTTTCTCCTGGAGATGAACACTAACAAAGTTTGGAGAAAATGAATTAATTTGGAGTAAATGAATTAAGTTTGGAGGAAATGAATTAATGAGAACTTTCCTCCATAAAGCTACATCTCAGGAGCTCACAGTATAAAGGTCACTAGCCATTAAAAAAGGAGGAAATCCTCGCTGAAACAAGTTTGACTCAGTGGATAGAGCATTGGCCTGAGGACTGAAGGGTCCCAGGTTCGATTCCGGTCAAGGGCATGTACCTCGGTTGCGGGCACATCCCCAGTGGGGGGTGTGCAGGAGGCAGGCAGCTGATTGATGTTTCTCTCTCGTTGATGATTCTGTCTCCCTTCCTCTCTGTAAAAAATCAGTAAAATATATATTTTTTAAATGAAATAAGGTATTAAAAATTAAAAGTCTTAATTACCATTTCATGTTTCTACCTATCAGAAATTACCTGAAGTTGGAGATGGTGATATAAATATCAGTATTATGAAGAGATATTTAATGTATGCTCGTTAAATATGTAACATTTGAAATGACTACCTCTGGACCTTTAAATCTACAGGTTTGTAGGAATTTTCCCCTTTGGGTTTATTTCCTTCTCCACAAAATACACATTTCTAAAATAATAATTTTTAAATGCCTTTGAAAACAGGCAGGACTAGATTTGAACTCTGGTGAGGCTATCTCGTTGGTAACCTTACATGTTCCTTGACATGTCTATCCTTCAGCTCCTTTACCTCTGCAGGGGAATTAAAGCCTCCCACTTTGCAGTACTAGGCTTCCATTTAAGATTTTCATAGATGCAGGTGTTTATCAGCGCCTCATGAACGCTGGGCACTCAATAAGCATTAGTTTCCTCTTACCTTGCTGTAAAGACACCCGAAATTCCTGGTGGCTGTAATTAGCTATCTTATGCAAAACCTTTGGCAGGATAATTTTTCAGTCTATAGTGACAACCACTGATATTTATCAAGGGCTTACTGTCCGACAGGGACTGTATTTCATTAGTCTTCACATAATTGTTTTTTCCTAACAACAATCCTACGTATAATGCAAAGAAGGTAATCTCTATGTCACAAAAGTAACAAAGGCTCACAGGGATCAAAGAACTTGCCTATGGTCATCCCTCAAACACCCTTGAGTCTCTGTCCACACTTTCAAACCAGGAGTGACTTTTCTGGAAGCACTCCAGAAATAAGTGGCATGTGAATTATATCTACAGTAAACCAGTTACTTAATACAACTGATGGACTTGTAGTCATTAGGATGACTTCTATACTGATTGTATAAAATAAAGATTGGCTTCATTTTACGGTGACCGTGTCTATAAAACTGCATCAAGTACCTACTCTCAAAATAAGTCCATTCCTAATGTCAACACATCTTTGTTTCTAAGGGTTAAGACAGCCTGAGGTGTGTATGAGGAAGTGATATGGTCAGCTATACGTCAGTCTTACAGGTCAAAGAGTAAGACCCTGCAGCAATAAAGACTCCAATAATGAGCCTGACACATTTTTGTGTGTGTGTGTTTTTTTTTAAATTGATTATAGCTCAAGAGAAATTAAATATTCCTGAAGAATACCTAAAGAATTTGGGAGAAAACTGAGATAGAAGAAAGGGTCTGAGAGAAATAATTCCAAAAATAAAATGTGAACGTATTTTCTTAAAAATGCTCTGCATACTTTGCATACCTTCCAGGATTATCTCATGCCCTCCTTATACATCTTTGACTTAGAAAACTTTGTTGGATTTTGGAAAGAATGACAACCGTCACTTGCACATTAGTATTACGGGGGGAAACATTTGTTAATTATTATAAATGGAACTTCATGCCTTATATACAGAAAACACTACAAATATTGAGGAACCTCATTTCCAGCTTGAAATACAAATGTGTGAAGTCCAGAATGTTTCTTTTAGTGTAGTTATTCCTTTGATATTTTTCCTGCAGAGATTTACGGAAACAAGGAGTCATCATAATTACCTTCATCCATGCCATTAAGTAACGTGGTCAAATCTTCATTTTTACTGTCAAATTGGTGCTCCTTCCACGTTTCTCCATTTTCACTTCGAAGAACAATGAGTTCTCTCTCTTTTCCTCGCATAGACCCAAAGTGAGGTATTTCCACTATGACAGGGCTGGAAAAAAATCCACATTATTTTGGTATCAAATGAAATATACTTACAGAATCATACTTAAAAAAGAAAAAGTTTCATTAAGAGGATTCATTGGAAAATCAGAGGTGCCACTAAGGTGGGGAATGATTTCAAAGCTGCAGAATCATTTGCTAATTAAATAATACATTAGAAGCTTGGAAACATGCCATCATTCATTCATTCACGAACAATTCTTGAGGGCCTACTCTAGATTAGGCTTTTGATTTAATGGGGGATGGGAGAGAATATTTAGCCCATACAAAAATAAATTTTGATTCAAGGAGTTGAAGATTATAAAAATAGACCATAAGGAAGAAAGTTGGTCTATTTTTAAAACCACAATAGGTATATTATTATATCCATTTAAAAAATGCTAATGCTTTAAAAGGACACAGTCATTTATTTAAAAAAGCAATTCTGTACATTTCCTATTTTAAAGATAACTGATTTTTTTCCCCTTAGCAAGAAAACAGTCAATGTAACAACCCACTCCTCCAATAGTCCCTCTTTGTGACTTTCACAGCCTATGTACTTAAGACAGTTTTTCTGATTTTCAGTTTGTGAAATGGTAGAGGGCAGCTTAATTTCCTAGCTCTAGTTTAACCTGCATAGGAATATTTAAATTTTCCTACAAAGCACTTGTTGGTTTGAAATTGCCATATAATCTGTTAATTTTTGACAGTGTCCTTTGCAAAAGAATGGCTGCAAATTCAAGATAGCCAATCAAGCACAGGAATAATTTTGTTAAATTTAAAAATAGGATAAATGCTACAAAAAAAAAAAATGAATGGAAGTAAGCAGACCACAATCACATACAATTTATGTAGTTGGATTGTGCAGCTTTCTTTTATGACATTGAAGTAGACAGTATCATTATTCTCCTACAGAGGTTGTATGTAACCTCACGTCTTCACCTATGTATTTATGTATGTGTGGTAACAGCAGGTAAAGGTTTACATAGGTTAGAACATAAAAAGGGACAGTAGTTGTAACAATCAAATAACATAATAAAAATATGAATATTTGCACTCACTTAAAATGGGATGACAAATATAATCATTATACTTTTGGCAAAATAAATATGGTTAATTCAAATTAAAAATTTAAATTTTCATGCCTTTATTTCTTTTGACAGGTAGAGGCAAAAATCACCTATCGCTAGTAGTGTTAATAATTCTAAGTTATTTACCATAGATTTTATTTTTAACCACAGCTGATGATTAAATATTAATTTTTTTCAGAACTATATACAATCTTTGCAGGTTAATGTATCAGATACTGTCTCTGTAAATATTTAGGAAATGTGACTGTGTACGACACTCAACATCACTGGAGAGAAGGTATGACAAGGATCTCTGACTAGGTGAAAGCCAAGCGTAACTTTTCATGACAGGTTTCTTCATGCAGACTGCCAAGGCACATACACCGAACAGACGAGCAAACAAATGACACATACCAACACATCAGCTAAACAAAATAAAATAAAACATGTGACAACCACAGGAGTATATTCTATCTGCTGCCTATACGGTTTTCTTTCCATATCTCGCATTCCCAATATTTTTCAAAATCAGTTTACTTATTGATCCCTTTTCCTTCGCAAAGCCCATGAAAATTACTCAAACTTAAAAAAATGTAACTCCATACACATACAAATATATAGATATATATACATATACATACACACATCTCCCACTAATAGCAAGTGTTGATTTAAAGCCTGTAAATACCTCCTCCTATAGTAGGTTGAAATTAGACTGTCCTTCTATCTGAAATGCTATCATATCCAGTCAAAACATTTCAAATTAAAGAAAGGCTTGCAGAAGCACAAAGAATTATGAAAGCAGAATGCTCGCAGTGAATTCCACATGCTTGAAAAGCACAAGATAGTCGCATTGCTACATCAAGTTCAAGCCACTATGATCTTTCTTTTTTCCTTTCAGTGACACACATCAACTGAAAGCGTTAACGATTGAAAAATAAAAATGAACTTAAGATAAGAATAAGACTATGGGTGAGACAGAAAAAAAATCGAAAATGGAAAAAAAGAATTGTAGACATTCTGTATCTTGTCTATGAAGAGCCTACCCAATAAATTTTGTTCCTTGAGGCCCAAGCTGCAGGATTCGGCTAACCAAGCTCTCGCCCTCATTTACAGGGGGAGGATGGGTGGGAAGATGCAGTTTACTGAATAAGATCCATGCAGCAGGAAGAGAAACGAGAAGGGGAAACCGTGAACAAACTGTCCGTCACGACAGAGCCTGCCTGATTTGCACCCGAGTGCCACCTCAGATCCTGAAGTCAATTTAGTGTTTGTTTGTTTTTTTGTAAAATATCATATCGCAATGGATTGTTTCCCCTAGCGGCGATCTTCACAAATGAACATGTACCCAAAGTAGCCATTTATTCGACGTGGTGGTAACATTCCAGCACCCATGTTTCCCCCCTAAAAATGGTGCCTTGACTCTAAGGGTGGCTTTGGCGTTCCGTGCACTCACTGAGCAGAGACCATGCTTCTCGGTTAGTAAAAGCTTTGACCAGCAAACTGAGTTAGGAGGAGGATCAGCCCATGAGCTCACAGAATTACCCAGCTTTGTGACCTCGGACACTACACAAAGGATGCCCTCAATCCCCAACCAACTAAGCCGTTTTAGTAGCTAACTTCTCAAGTCAAGGGTAAAGAAAAAAATCAAAGATGTGGTTATGAGGGCCAAGACTGAAATTGACACAATCACTTACCCTAAAAACTGGGCCCCTGCAGGGCCCATTTCTACCAGCCTACTGGCTAATCCCTCTCCTTCCACCATGGGGGGTGGGGTGGCCAGTTTATGTCTCTTTACCAGACGGCAGGTGATGCGGGTGGGGGCCGTGCACTTGCGTGGGGGGATGATGATTCGCATCCCGTGGTGACGGCTTCCCCTCATGGAGCCGCCTCTCGCATCCACCATGAAGCTCACCAGAAACCTGAGGGGAGAAGATCAGAGGCCAAAGTGAGACAGGAATAAGCCACCTTCCAGAGTAGGTTTTGAAACGTAACGCTGAAGTTTAGAGTGACAGACAATGCAGCTACCATTTCCTCTCTTTAAAAATAAGTCAGAAGTAAATACAGTGGAGTCACATCAAACATGCATCTAACCTGTGAACTGGGCAAAGAGCGAGGCATGACAACTTAGCTTTGGTGGAACACAGCCCCCGGGAAGAAACCAACCACTTCATCAATGGCTCAAAGGGAAGGAACAGTGACAGTGACGGTTCCAAAACAGAAATAGAAACCGGCTAAAGGACTGTCATGAATTTAACAATAAAAAAACAAAACCACTGTATGTGGTCTCTTATGGGTGTTTTAAGCTGTACTCAGGCATCATTTTAACTGCAAGTAGTTCTAGCCATTGGCTGACTATGGGGTCTCTAGTCCTGAAAGGTAAGATGAAACTCCACAGTATGTCTTAACATGTACAATTCATAAAAATGAATGTATAGGTACTCAGACCAACACTCTAAGTTTTACTATCGCAAAGCAGCATATAATAATAAAAGCAGAAGGTGACTAGTTTCGCTAAGGCAATTTTGATGGAGAGGGATTTGATTTCCTTTAATATATATCTGGCTTTAAAAATAACCTCCATTTGAGTATTTGTACAGCAATACAAATATCCTAAGTTAGGCCTCTTAGGAAATACCTCTAAACTACATAATTCTGCCATTGACCTCTACATTAAAGCTAATGAGGAGAATATGAAAATGTATAGAAATGAACTGTGTCACATCAGGGAAACAGCACCCTGCAATGTGTGATTCCTGCCGTGCACTCAGGGAAAGGAGTCCCCCACAGGTTCCCCCACCACGGCCACGGTGCTGAACGTGGCACACGGAGAAGTGCAGGGCAGGCAGGTGAACAGAAACACGGATCTGCACACTCTCATGTTCACATGTGAAAATGTGCTTGGTGCTGGAACAGCATTAAATATGGATGATGCGAAAATTGCTTGAATACCTACAGTTTTTTAGGGGAAAAGTTATCCCATCCATCAAAATCCTTTCCCATTTATTCATCTAAAAACAGTTCTAATATCCTGCAAATAGATTTTAGGACCCTGGCTGGAGGTCCTAGCTGGGGACCCTTTCCTAAAGAGTTAACCTCTTGACCAGCAACCTCTTCCATAAAGCAAACTGACTTGCTATCCCCCATGGAGAGAGGCACACGGAGGTCATTTTTTTAGCCAATCTGATTTTCAGAACCACTTCTGGTCATCAGTGGAGTGGAATCAACTTCACATCCTTTTGCTCATTTTGGATTTAGCTGTTTTCCTCTGGGTTAATTTATGTTTTTCATAACACGATACCTACTTTGAGAGACTGGGGCCACTGTGACATTTGAGGGGAATAGATGGAGCCCCTCAAAAAAACAAACAAACAAACAAACAAAAAAACCCACTCCTTCCTAGTCAAAGATATATGCTCACTTATACAAGTGGCCACAGAACTGTTTTCAGAGCTACATGATGCACAGCTCACGAACCTACGCCGGGAGCCTACATTTTCTCACACCTATAAATGTTTAACCACCACTTTCAGTCAGTAACAAAGATAATGTGGTGATGAAGTCTCAGGCAAAATCTGATCTCTCCCAGCAGTTAATGGTGAAAATCAACTGGTGACTGAGAATCATAGTAAGAGAATGAAAGGATGAAAAAATGATTCAATATGAACTCTGGGTTTGAAAATCCAGTTGTATCAGTACAATAAACACTGGGGTGTTTACACTGGGAGGGCAATTATGTCTCCGTGATAGAGACAGTCATCCAGATCAGGTCTGTCTTGCTCAGTGCTCCCTCTGCAGAGTTGAGCCCATTTCCTACACACCAAGGCACGTTTACTGAGTGAGCTGACGAACAAAACTATTTTGTTAAGCATGCTAAGAAACTGCCTAGGCCAGGCTTGAATATATATATATATATATATATATATATATATATATATATATATATACACACACACACACACACACACACACATTTGTAGCTAAGTAGTCTGCAGGTAGTGTAAGAAGGTAATCAGTGTCAATATAAAAATATCCCAGCTACAAAGAATATCAGAACCAAATGGAAAAACAAACATGGCTTTGAAGATTTTAATGACAAATTGGAAGAGCCTCCTTGTGTTCTGAGAGCACCCAGGGCAGAGCTGGAGCTCATGGCCAACTGTTACTGGTCTAAGCCAAGGTTTTCAATTTTATGGAGCAAACAGACTAGGGAAAGATGGGAGTACATGTTAGGCAGAATATGGGTTCTATTATTCAGTAGCCCTATGAACTAGAGTGATTTGTGTTCCAATCATTCCTTACGTATTCTGTATAAAATAAAATCCCATGCAATATAACATACAGAAACGAATTAAAAGGTGATGTTTAATCAAGTGTGTTGTACCTTTTATTATTTAAATTAAAGCAGGAATTCGACAAACGATCCTAAAATTAACACATGAATATTTCTAGTTTTAGGAACAGTGAGATGACAAATGCCGATACACTAATACACTACAGACATTGACACAATCTAACTGCAGGGGGTGGGTGAGGGGACTCACATAAATTAAAACTACAAAAAAAGAATGGTTCACATAAAGGACAAGTTATCACCTTGAATCATACTGAGGAAGTGGAGAAGAATAGCTGCAAAATAATTTAAAAAGCAAATGGGAAAAAATTAATGTACGATAATTAGAAGCAAGCAACAGAAAATGTCAATGATAAGCAAAAGAAAAATAAAAACCATCAGAACATGAAACCAAAGCATTTGACATTTGTGGGACCACAAATACTTGCCACAAACAAGCTACTCTACAGACCCAGCATCAATGAACTATTTCCAAGTATACACATACCAAGTCTGTATTTTCCTTTACAAATAAGCCCATGGTAGTTGTCATTATTTCCACTTTCCTGCATATGTCTATTGTCTTTAATAAATTCAAGGAGCAGAGATAATTTGCATATTCTAACACATAATTGTCTACAAATTATGCAAAAGTTCATTTCTGATTTTATTATCCTATGCTTCCTCAGCCTCTCAGTTTCATAAATTAATCACTAGTACTTTTCTTTCCCATGCAGAGAGTACAAATTTCTTTATCACACGGTGACAATTCATCAAGCTCCATTCCAAAAACTCTTCAACATGTCTGCCCACCAAATGTATCCCAAATATTTTATCTTTTCCTTAACTCTGACTGTTTTTGCTTTTGCAATTTTAGACTCACATATATCTACTAAAAATTTTATAGTGTTAGCTGTTTAATAATTACCATTATTATAATTGAAGGTTTTTCTAATTTAGTTAAATACAATATTAATGACTCAAAGACCACCATCTAACTTATAGTTTATAAAGCATTTTCATGTAAGTCATTGCCATTGGAACAACTCTTTTATTTTTCAGAATTGTGATGTTCCAAGCTACAAGCTCCTTAAGACTACGATAAACACTATAGAATATTGTAAAATAACCTGCAGCATTACTCTGAATTTCAGACTTTTCATCTGTAAAATAGAGATGAGTAAAACCTTTCCCAGTGTCCTTTTAGCTCAAATAAATACTAAATAAGACAATACATGTAAAACATTTAGCACAATGCCAGGTACATGAAAAGCACAAGGTAAATGTTAGCTATTACAATTTATTTTAATTAGAAGCAGCAGCAGCCAAAACCGATTTGGCTCAGTGGATAGAGCGACGGCCTGCGGACTGGAGGGTCCCGGGTTTGATTCCGGGCAAGGGCATGTACCTTGGTTTTGGGCATAACCCTGGTGGGGGTATGCAAGAGGCAGCTGATTGATGACTCTCTCTCATCGATGTTTCTAACTCTCTATCCCTCTCTCTTCCTCTCTGTAAAAAAAAAAAAAAAAAAAAAAAAAAAAAAAAAAAAAGCAGCAGCAAACACTTCATGTAGCACATAAGGCATATAGTGTTAATGGCTGCTAATTTACTCAATTCCAAATGAATCAGCCCTTGTCCTGGATCACAACTAATGTGTGGCCTTCGTGTTGATTTCAGAGGTGAAAATACCTTGAACTATTTTCACTATCTGATGCAGTATTTCTATTCCATGTGTACCGAGAACACTTACCCCAGGTTTTGATGACCTATAGGTAAAGAAGCCAATTATCTAAAGATACATTGATTATCAATTTAGCAGTCCAAGGAGTTCAGCTTTTAGCACCAGCCTCAAATTTTGCTGGCTGGGGGCGGAGAGTGTGAGAGGGCAGCAATGGGGCCTGTTTGGTGTGCTTCTCATGGACATACCGTGGCCCATTCATTTTTTTAAAAAGTGGATTTCTCTATATTCTTTTAAAAACTCATTTCTCTTTTCTAATTGTAATTTAACGCAATTATAACTTCATTTCAGGAATGCAGAAGGGGACCAAACTTGATCTAGAGGTTTCAAAAGTTTATATTTTCTTTTTAAAGGAAAAAAATCACACAAAACCTATCATTTGTCAAATCAGAGGCCAATATCATATGAGAAAAATATAAGAATACCAAAGTTTACTGCTCATTTAAAATCTAAACTTTTGAGTAAAATCCACCTATCATTTGAAGCAAAGCGCCAAAGCAAGTCAAACTGAGGCAGCACAGGGGTGTGAGGCAGGGGACAGAAAATACCAGTAGCCATGAAGCCAAGGTGAGACTAGATGGTCATGTGGATTTTGTGATAAGCTGACCACAAAATTGTCACCACCTTCCATGCTGTTCTGGAGAATGAAGAGGCAGCTGACTTGACCTCCCTGGCCTGCTTAACCAACATGCGCAGTGGATCAAGCTCTGACTCTAGAGGACCTTCCTGGGGTGGCAGGAATGAGCAGTCTGCCCCCTTACCCCCGCAGCTGCAGGCGGAACCACAGTTACAGGCAGCTGGAGAGGCAGGTCCCCTTCCCCACCAACCCAGAAATGAAAAATTCCCCAAGCCCGCCTTTTTCAAAAAGTCTGCCCACTTTGTCCCCAGCTTATAAAATCAGCCAAGCAGAGCCAGTCCCCAAGTCAGGTCAGAGGACCTTCCTTCCCTTTGTGTTGCCTCCCTTGTGCTCAAGCATAAGCTTAATAAAACCTGTTTGGAAATGTCTCTGGGTTTTCTGTTTGATTTCTGTTTGGGATATCCAAGAACCCCAAGGTGGGTAACAAAATAATGGGGTAAGTTAATAGAAAGACTTCTATATGTATTTTTTTTTATTAGAAAGGAAAATCAGATCAGATATTTAGGAAAAAACTTCATTTGAATAAAGTAAAATTAAAAGCTATGACTATAAATATTCAATTTTTTTTATTGATAAGGAAAATCAAAGACCTTGAAATGTACCAGCATAGCCAGGGAAATTTTAGGCATCAAAACTTTAACGAATTTCCTTACTAACACTGTGCTTCTCTATTAATAAAAGTAGATATACACATTTGCTTAAAAATATTCACTAATGATTTATAAGTATGCCACAGACACTCACTAATGAAGTCTATAGAGAACCAATATTTCATACAAATGAAGTTTGTCAATATGAATTCATAGCTGCAAATATTAAATGCAATGCTAGCGTCATAGGATAAAGAAAAGTGCCTTTTAGGCTACTTACCCAGAGTGAACAGGACTTGAGACAAGATTGACATTGTCCAAGGTGTCTGCAGCCCAGCTGTAGTGTCTAAGAGAATCTGAATCAAATTCTCTGGTGAAAGTTAGGTGCTGAAAAATGAAATGATAGATTGCGTCAACAACCCACCGAAGACATTGGTTTTTCTGCACTTACAAAACATACCTGTATGTCTCTATCAGTCCAGGCAGTCTAACATTCAAAATTAACAATTTATTTACACTCCACTACCGGTCTACACAGACATTTCAAGAATTAGAAAACAGAGGTTATTTCAATCCTTTAAGAAAGCATCTTGAGTAATTGGCATGGCAAGAGGAATCGAGGAATAATTCTAACCATGGCTTTAAGCACTTCAACACATCTTCAAATTAATCCTACTGCAGTTGTAAAATTCTTTCCCAAATTTCAAAAAGAAAACAAAACACTCAGTCTTGACTTCTGTCTCCAAGTGGGGCAGAGCAGCCTGCTGCCGCCGCCAAGTCAGATAAATAAGGAAATCATGTCTGAGTGCAGCGGAGAGCAGCTGAGGCATGAACTGGAGAGGGGTAGGTCTCCAACAGTCGTGCTGGCGTTTTGTCGCCACTTTTAAATTGGGGGCATTTCTCAATGACCAGTGCAGACCGAATTGGGGCTTTTGTACTTGCAGGGGCTGTTGCTGGGGAATAGAAAAATCAAAGGAGTTTGGTGGAGATTTGGGAGGCCTCCAGCATGCTCTCTGTTAGGACACTGGCGGAGTTCTGGGGCTGTGCAGAACAGGCTCAACAGAAAATCCGAAAGGTTCATGGAGCTTTTTGGCAATTTCATGAGAAATAGATGGAGAGTTTGGGACCTGTCCGGGTAAGAGACTTGAAAACCACACTAGAATGTTAAGTAAAGACCCTAAGGGACCAGGCACAAACCAGAGGCAGTCTCCGCCTAAGCAGAGCTGCAGACCAGCCCCATTTCAGCAGACTCCTGATCGGATTAAATAACCAGCCACTGCTGTTTGCCAAGCAGAGGGAGGGTGAAGCCTCTGTGAAGGCCTCAAGCAGCATCGGACATGCCGTGTCTGCATCTGTTTCACACATCATGTCCAGCACGCAATACAAAACTGCCAGGCATGGCCAAGAGCACATGAACAAAAACAAGAAAGAAAGAAAAAAAAAAAAAAAAAAGCAAAAACAACCCATACCCAGATATTATAGACTCCAGGTTATCCTACATTTTGAAGTAAGCTAATAAGAACTTTAAGCAAGTATGATTAGTATGTTTAAGAAAATAGAGAAAGAAAACAAACAACCACAAAAAATAAAAAGGGGATAATTTAACAGAGTATGGAATGTAAGAAAGAATCAAATAGGCATTTGTCCAGTTCTAAATACAACGTTAGTTCCTGACTAGACACAACAGAAAATGGGGTTAGTGAATTGGAAGCATAAATGGAAAACTATACAAAATGAAGGATAGATGTTTTTAAAAAAGAATGGAAAGTATAGAAAACAGTATGAGACATGTGCGACACAGTGAAAAATTTTAACATAAGTGAATTTAGAAGAGGAGAATAAAGCAAAAGTTATATTTGAATAGAGAATGGCTAAGAATGTTTTAAATCTGATATAAGATATTATCCTGCAGACGAAAAATAAGATCAATCTCAATTTTTGTCCTGTTCAAGAATTGGTTCCTACTAATGCTCCATTAAATGACAGAACTCAAAGACAGTAACAAATATGATAGCATTCAAGTTGGAAAGAATGCCTGGAAATTAGAGTAAGATTAAAATAAAAATAGGAGAGAACATATAAGACAGCAGAGAATCAGTTCAGGAATTTCTTATCTTCTGTCTCTCTCCAAAAGAAAGACAAAGTTCTAAAATGAGAAAAATAGTAAAATAAAGAAGTCAAGGGAATAATTCAAGAAAATTTCCCAGAGCTGACGACAGGTGCCCAACTTAAAAGGACCCACAGAATGGCCAGAACTAGAAAGAAATATAAACCCCACTTCCCAACTCGGAAAAAATAAACAACATAGAATGATTCTCCAAATTTTAGAAAGGAAAATCACAGGTGACAAACTTCCACCAGATTTTAAGAGCAAAAACTGAAGTTAAGGACAAGGCAATGGAACAATTCCTTCAATGTTCTGAGGGGAAATTATTTTCAACCCCAAATTCTATAACCAGCCAAACAAAAAGATAAAATTTAAGAATAGAATTATTTTAAGATGTGTGAAACCTCATAAAAAAGATACATATCTGATGCACTCTGTAAAGGAAACTATTGAAAGATATGCTCCACCAAACAAGGCCTAAACCAAGTCAGACACATGGTCTAATACAAGAACAGGGCATTTTCATGGTGCCGACGGAAGAGGAATCAGGAGGCGTCCAAGGAACGGGACGACTAAGGAAGCTCCCAGGGAGATGAATTAGGAAGATGAAATTTATGAATATATATTGAAAGGAGACTTTTCACAACTGGGGAGGAATGTGTGGGTTGGGCTAGTGATTTGTAGAGAGAGCAACAACTAAACGAGAAAACTTAGGGAAAGCAAATACGGTACCAAAAAGAAAATGCAATCATGACATACTTCGTATCTGTAAATAACATTACATAGGCATAATAATAGAACCATTAAACACACACAGGAATAACCAAAATAAAATACAACAGCTTGGGGGAACGGGGGGGGCGGGGGGAGTATGCACAGCGGGAGAGAAGAGTTGTTTTAAAAATTAAGAGCTTCATCTTCCATTTTGGTGAGTCAAGAAAATTCCTGAAACGAGGAAAAAGCCAACAAGAAGCAACATGCATATCATTTGGAGACATGAAAGTGTATAATAAAAGTCTCAAAAGATATGCTAAGAATTTGTCTCTGGAGAGAAGGTATTTTTTTTCTCCCCTAATGAGTATGTCTTATGAAACAGCATGACTTTTTACTGGCTCGTATAAACTTCGATAATACTAAAGCTTAAAATTTTAAAAATTACTCTGAATTACTAAGATTAAAAAAAAAACTCTCTGAAATTAAATTGGGGGGAAAAAAACACCTGTAGAGCATGTAAGTAAAAGCCACTATCCTATCTAGAGCCTAGAAAAATACAAAAATGAATGAGGGAGAGAGAATTTTCTCAGCATTCAATGAGAGAAGTCACATTCAGTGGATGGATGTGCAATGAATGGTGTTAACAGGAGCCCATAGATCCAAGGTCCTAACCGCAAAGGAGCAATGCATCTCTTCAGAAAGACCCCACATTCTCTATGGGTAAGCCAAAGCTTAGGTGTTCATTTTAGTCTGGCGTTGGTTACTAACTTTTGGAGACCCCGACTAACCTCGCTTCAGAGCAGGGCAGAGTATTCAATAGAAAGTGGGTGGCGCTGCTCATTTTACTTTTCAGCAAACTGCAACTTCTGCATTTGAGGCCCCGAGGTTACTTTCCACAAAGGAACACCCCTTTTAAAAAATTTCTAATAAATAAGTAATATCACACTCTTCTTTGGCAATAACAGTAAATTATTTACCTTTGGCAGGCTTAGAAACATGCACTGGTGACATTAATTATTGAAACAATGAACATATCACACAAAAAGGTATCAGCACCATCATGCAATATTGATCGAAGCAGGAGTATGCCAGCACACTGGGATTCCACGCCACTTCGAGTTATTCCCAACTCCTTACCCCTCTTAACACTTAGCCACTCACTGAAACTCCCTCTTAACACAGATGAACAAATGTATAGTGAACAAATATACTTGTATGAGACAACCAGCTCTGTGTCCCAATGTTTGTCCCAGTTTTTTTTATTTTTTATATTTTATTATTTTTTTACAGAGAGAGAGAGAGGGATAGAGAGCTAGAAACACCGATGAGAGAGAATCATCGATCAGCTGCCTCTTGCACACCCCCTACCGGGGATGTGCCCGCAACCAAGGTACATGCCCTTGACCAGAATCGAACCCGGGACCCTTTAGTCCGCAGGCAGATGCTTTATCCACTGAGCTAAACCGGTTTTGGCTGTCCCAGTTATTTATTTTTTTTTTTCCATAGAGGTCTACTTAGGTTTATGGGAAGACCTAACAATTTTAGTAACCTCAATGCAGACACACAAAATGCTCTTCCTACAGTGCATCCACCTAAATAAAAAAAAATTCAATGAAGACTATGGTCTTTACAGAAAGAGAATGAGTTCGTAGCTTCATTTCCAAGCGACCCATCACTGAATACTTATTTCTACAGATTAGCACTTACTTAAAGCTGAAGTGTGCAATTTGAACTGTTTACTAACTTTCACAAACATTATGAATTTCAAAATGTTGTGCATGGCACCATGGTACCAACAAAGAACTTTCCCCTACTTGGTGACTGATCAAATAGACATTTAAAGTGATAAATAGGACACCACATGTGATGATGGTTAAGAGAGATGAAACAGAGTTGGCTCTTGAGTTTCCCACAGCAAGGAGGAGTGTTCCCAGGGTCTAATGGAAAACACTGGCTTTGAAGTTTAGTCACACACTTGGATCTGAAAATTGCCTTTGCCACTTGCTAATGGAGAACACTTCTTTCCCACTCCCAAGCTTCCCATTGTGGAATGGCAACCCCATTATGTAAATTAGGCCTCTTCCTATCCTCTTATATTCCTTTTGACCCTTAAAATGTGGAGTGGTTTATCTGAGTGGTAAATTTGGGAAAAGTAGCTGGGAAGGCTCTGCTCAGATGCAATTTTCACCCTCGTGGGCTGAGCTTGGTCACAGAGCACAGACATCCTCCTCTGATCCCTAAATCCATCTCTGTGATGGGTGCACCTGGGCTGGTGAGGCTGCCTCTGGGCAGGGAGTCTGCCAATTCACAGGCTCAGTTAGCAGACCCACTGTCTCAGACACTAAGCCAGCCCTCAACATGGAATAAATAAATATATTTGCCTCTGACCTTTCCTTATCTTTATTGAAAACCCCTCTGGAGATGCCCAACATGTTTCATGACCCTTAGCAAGTTTCTTAACTTTTCTCAGTCTCAGTTTTCTCATTTTCAAATTGAGGTTTGGTTGATATGGAGATTAAATTAAAACACACATCAAAAATCTGGCACCAAATGCTGGCCTGAAATT